CCACTCTCTCCCATCTAGCGCCTCATCCCCAGTTATGATTGATGGTGGTCAGTGACAGGGAGGAAGTATGTGTGTGTGCATGTGTGCTCATACGTGCATACTATATGATTTAAAAAATAGTCTCTGGAAACTGGATAGGAGTCATGGGAGTGCACAGCTCCTGGATTTGTTTGCATTTCCAAAAATAAAAGAGCAAGTGCTTGCTGCCAGACTACAGTCCTCTGCACACAGACTGATATAATACTATACCATTAAATATGTTTATGTAATACTATACTATTAAATATGTTTATTTTCATTTATATTCATTCAGTGTGCACATTAACACAAATTCTTTTCTATTGAAAGGTCAGGGTCTTTGTGGAGAATACACTTGTGTTTACACTTCTTTACCAGTGAATATACCAGAATGTAGATTGCTATACCTATAAATTCTACTGGAGCCTCCACCTTTAAACTTAGCCCCATACAGAAATAGATGGTTGATATTAAATATCATCCACATGGGAAATAAGGTCAGCAGCTCACTAATGAACTCCTGGACATTGATGTCTTCTGGTACCTGGCAGTGATAACCTACAAATTTGCAAGCTAATAAACCTGAAATACTGCATGAACACAAAATATGCCCTTTACAAACTGCCCTTAAAATAATGGAAGTTTTACATGGGTGACTTCCTAGGGGAAAATAATAAAAAATGTTCTATTAGCATAAGAGATAAAAAACATGTGGATGGGCAAGGTGACATTAAAAATGTATTATTAGGAACCACACATACAGTTTGTCAGTATCAGAATGAAACTTTCACTATTAACACAGGGGGATAAAAACTCAAAATAAAATAGGATCTCAGGTATAACATCTAAATTAATATTAAATTGTCTGCCTAAAAATAGCTACATTTTGAAGCCATAACCAAAATTTCAACATAGGTAAAAGGTATCAATGTGAACCATTACATTTAGGTAGTCTCCCTGATAAGAAAAGGCTGGAGAAAAGTTGAAATGTAATTTAGATTAGAGTGAAGACTAAGTACATTTGTGTGCTTATTATACAGTATAAGGACTTAAGGGCTACGTTCTTTAGGAAAATGTCTATTCCTAAATAAATTCTTTGTGTTGTAAACAAGAGTGTATGGCCATGCAAGCAAGTCTGTGAGGGTGTAACGCTCATCACTAAGAAAACCAAGCTTTAGGTAAACTAAGGTACTGGCAAAAACTAGAGCACTCAGAGAACACATGTACCTCCACCAAGGCACAACATTCGCTCACACAAATGGGTCCCTTGTGAAAAATGTTACGATTTCATGTTGTTTACTGTATTTGTTTCCATTTACCCTGTCTCTCCCCACTGTTCTGCCACCATAATGCCATTCACCTGCCGCTCATTAACTCCCGGTTCTGCCTCATACATACAGTGGGTACGGAAAGTATTCAGACCCCCTTAAATTTTTCACTCTTTGTTATATTGCAGCCATATGCTAAAATCATTTAAGTTCATTTTTTCCTCATTAATGTACACACAGCACCCCATATTGACAGAAAAACACAGAATTTTTGACATTTTTGCAGATTTATTAAAAAAGAAAAACTGAAATATCACATGGTCATAAGTATTCAGACCCTTTGCTGTGACACTCATATATTTAACTGTCCATTTCTTCTGCTCATCCCTGAGATGGTTCTAGACCTTCATTTGAGTCCAGCTGTGTTTGATTATACTGATTGGACGTGATTAGGAAAGCCACACACCTGTCTATATAGGACTCTACAGCTCACAGTGCATGTCAGAGCAAATGAGAATCATGAGGTCAAAGGAACTGCCTGAAGAGCTCAGAGCCAGAATTGTGGCAAGGCACAGATCTGGCCAAGGTTCCAAAAAAATTTCTGCTGCACTTCCTGTTCCTAAGAGCACAGTGGCCTCCATAATCCTTCAATGGAAGACGTTTGGGACGACCAGAACCCTTCCTAGAGCTGGCCGTCCGGCCAAACTGAGCTATCGGGGGAGAAGAGCCTTGGTGAGAGAGGTACAGAAGAACCCAAAGATGACTGTGGCTGAGCTCCAGAGATGCAGTCGGGAGATGGGAGAAAGTTGTAGAAAGTCAACCATTACTGCAGCCCTCCACCAGTCGGGGCTTTATGGCAGTGTTTATAACTTTTTGTAAATTTTGCCCCATGTTAAAGGTGGGATTTTTTGGATTGATTTTCATTTTTGTTGTGACCTTGACCTTTTCAGCCAAGATCTAATCACTTCTAGGGCTGGGCCCCACTAATGTCTGTTCCAAGTGTGCTGATGACCCATGCAGCTGTTTGTTTGTAATGCTGCTAACCACCACACACACACATCCTTGTGGTGATCGCTTACAGGGTCTCTATAGAGACTTGCATTCATTTCCAGGAGACTTTATCCTAACCTTAGCCAAAACCTACACTTGCTCTAACCTTACACCCTGTCAATTTTATAAAATTCAATTGGTTGTGGGGTCCAGCCTCCAGTCCCCACAAAGCAGTGTGCTCCCATTGTTCCATCCCTACAAGGCCACACACACGAAACCAAAAGCATAACCTCTTTGGCAGAGGTAACTGAAAGTTTGAGTCAGTGATGGCACTAGATGAAAAGTCACGGGGTGAGTAAAATTCACAAAGACCATGAATGTCTGCACCAAATCCAATAATGTAATAGTTCACCCTGAACCACAAGATTCAAATTTACAGTGGTGCTAGAGGAAAAGTCAGGATCACTAAAGCACCTTTGGGTTAATCATCTTGGTACCATGCATGTCTGCACCAATTCATGTTAAAGATATTAGGATATTTCCTGTCTAGTAAGAAGCAGGGTACACCCTGGACAGGTTGCTTCTCAGAGATGGGGCTGACAAATGGAGACAGACAGCCACTCACACCTATGGGCAATTTAGATTCACCAGTCAACTTAACCTGCATGTCTTTCGACTGTGGAGGAAGCCGGAGTGCTGAAAGAAAACCCACAAGAGCAGAATATGCAAACTCCACACAGAAAATCTTCCTGGGATCTGGAACCTTCTTGCTGCGAGGCAATAGTGCTTAACACTGTACCACCATGCTGCCATGACCTGCTGAAAACCTTTGTTACCACATTAATCTCTGTAGGCTTGGAAATTGTATCTGCATGGCACATTAAATAATATAGATACCCTATTAAGCTCTGTAGGAATATAACATAATACTATGTCTGTAGTATAAAACATATTGTAAGGCAATAATGACATGAAAACCAGCAGACTAGTGGTTGTCTGCCTTGTGATAAGCACTGATTGAAGGCTATACAGCAGCATGCCCACCTTTTCATATAAGACACACCAATTGCTATGGAAACAGAGTAATATTGTACTGATTGATCGATCAAGTGTTTTGTCACTGCAGCTGAAAGCCCCCTTGTTGCTCACCTTTCCAGCCCAGTACAGGAAGCCCTTTTTTTTTCAGCAGGAGTACTACATGTATGAGGTAATTGTTTGGTCATGTGAGCTTCTGCAGCATCTGTCAAATGCCATAATAGCAGGAGAATCCTTGGCCCAGCCCCTAGCAGCTGAATGGACAGCTCACAGGAGTCTAGGGACCATCAACAAAGAGACGAGCCTACAGACAGAGGTTCATCTCAGCCAGGAAACAGGAGAGAATTGTGAAAATGAGAAACAAAATATTAATTATAGGTATGCTAAAAGTTTACAGTAAGGTGCTATTTTTAAAGAACTATATTATGTCATAGTAAGCTGAGTAACATTAAATAAACAACATTCAGAATGTGAATGTAAAATTTATGTTAATAGTAGTTTTAAATCTCATTAAACCTTACTTAATTATTTTTATATATCCTTGAACTGCTCAGTCGCGCATGTACACGGGTGTGTGTGTAACATGATAAAAGTTGTTATAACCCCTCACTACCTCACCAAGCATAATAACATATCCAACTCCACTATGTGAATTACTAAGTGCGATGTTGAAGTTCACTGGGGAAAATACTATTACCCTATTTTTGTGTATTGCGGCTTTAATGCTTTGATGCCTTTATGTAACTTTTTTATTTTAAGACTAAGTTTTCTTTCTGGCATTTGGCTCCTTACCTGACTCCAAAGGAGAGCTGCACAAGAATTCCTATATGCCTAGACTGTCTGTTTATGCATTAATGGCAAATAAAAATCTTGACTTGACTTGTTATGGATATACTGTAATGACCCTCCTCATAGACAACGGCATTAATGAGACATAGCAATCAGAAAAGTCTACCAAGGCAGAAATGATTTGTAATGTCAAAAGAACTGAACAAAATCTAACAAGACAGCACTAACAGTCAGTAACAATTCATAATATAAAAATGCCAACAATTCTTTGCCATTTGTATTCTAAATAAAGGAAATGCCCTGGATCTTTGACCATTTTGAAGATCTAGCAAATTGAGACCAGGATATTTTAAGTTATGGATCTGCATCTCACAGATTACATTGCCTTTTTCATACTTTTACTATGTTATACTTGGCAATATTTACAAATGTAGGCTAGTGAATGAATATCAGTGATATTATAATGAATTACATAACTAACAGCATGTTCTTTGCACAGTAATTTAATCACTGTTAGAAAGGGGATACTGAAAAAGAATCCAACTTACTTGAAGAATTGCACACATATTTTATGTAAAAGGCCCTGAATCTAACTCATGATTGATAAGATTTACAGTACCCCCTGTAACCCTTATCTCTGTAATATTAAACAATTTGTTTCCTGGAGATTTTTTATGGCCACTGGATCTCTAAATTCTAACTTTAGGAGTGTTTGGCCTAGAGTGCAGAGATTGAGAGAGACAGAGAAATGATATAGCCACATGCGCATGTACAAGGTAATTTCTCTCCATTTGTAGAGACGCATGCATTGTTAAGATTTTAAGAAATTTCTTACGGTCCTTGGTGCACGCTTCCTCATGAGGCGGAGTGTACTTTATCCATGGCCCCTTGGTTTTAAATCCAAGCTCCACCCCTCCAGTACCTTGTCCGCCAGCAGTACAGTGCGCCAGGGAGCGAGAGTACAGGCGTGGGGCACTCTGGGGAGTGGACACGACACACCGGTAGCAGCACGGAGTGGCAGCGGCAGTACTTCTCGGAGAAAAGACGATCTTTATTGGATTAAGGGACACCGAGTGCCTTTTAAGGCATTTAATGACCGAGGAGTCTAGTTTATTTTGTCAGCCGTGAAAAGGGAACTCCTTCACGGCCAAATTTGGGAGTACCGCAACCGGTGATGGGGAGGAGGGGACAATGATGCAGTTCCAATCCGGTTCTGTGCCCCGCGCAGTCCGCCTCCGACGCTGGTGATGCCCGCCGTGCGGGAATCACCGCCCAGCAGCAGAAGGAGGTCGGGACAACAGGACGGCTGGAACCGATGATGATGATGATGGCAAGGTCGATATCATGGCTAACGGAACCGGTACAATCATGTTAAAATGCGTCGTGGTCGGAGACGGTGCAGTGGGCAAAACGTGTCTTCTAATGAGCTATGCCAATGACGCCTTTCCCGAGGAGTATGTACCCACAGTCTTTGATCATTATGTAGGTAGGAATACAGTTCTTCTGTTCTGTTTGTGATCAGCGTCTGATAATAACATCATGACTCGTTGAACTGCTGCCCTTCTATGTTTTATAATAATTTCTGAGATTAAAATCTAATAAAAGTGAAGATAATGTATGGAATACTGCCTGAGTGAATTCCCTATTGCCTTTCCTCTTTCTCCAACTGCATTGGCTTGCATCTGTTGCTGTAATCAAAAGCACTTGTTTGCCTTCTTCATAGCAGAGAGGGGCTGAGGACCCTGACTCCCCCCTCCCTCCTTTCTTTTCTGCTCCCCCTCGCCACCTTCACAGTCTCTGTTTTCTCCTCTCAACTGCTCTTTGTCATTTCCTTGCAGTGAATGTCAACGTTGGTGGAAAGCAGTACTTGTTGGGACTGTATGATACAGCTGGTCAGGTAAAGTTTCTTTTTTATTCTTGCCAGGTGGCCAAACATGTCAAAGTCACACACATACACAGCCTCTCACTCTCTCTGTCTCTCACTCCTTCTCTATCTTGGTCTTCCCCATGTGCTCCTGGGACCAATAACTATCTTACAGAGCCTCCCATGCTCCAACAGGCTTCATATTCAGGCCAGGCACTAAACAGCAACAGGTGATTGTTTTGCGCATGGGTTTACTGCCAAAGTCTGGTGTACCATGGACAGTCATGGTAGTGAAGGGGTTTCAATAGTTCTATTGTACAGAAAACAGGGCTCTTATGTCCAGTAGTGATGTCACATGTTTGTTAACAGGGCTGCCTAATGCCTGGGCCTTTTCTTTACCATGTTCCATTCAGTGGGTAAGAGTTAAAACTGTAGTCAGCATGCACTGGCCTACACAAACACACACTGTGTTGTCATTCCTTGTGAGGACTTTACATTGACTTACATTCATTTCCTGTAGACTTATCCTAACCTTAACTTTAACCATAACCACTACTTGCAATCACCTAACCCTAACCTCATCCTAAGCTTAAACCATGTTGCCACCTTAAAATTCAGTGATTTCAAATGATTTTCCACAAGGATGGCCAGGTCCTCACAATGTTAGTGTTATAAAAAGGTTTCGATCCCCTTAATGTAAGTAATACAAAGGCACACACACACACATGGCAGACTCATGCTCAGAGGGGATGACAGGACAAGATACGTAAGTGAAAGGCTCTGCATCATATGCCACCAGAACTTCATGACCAAGGTTTTCCAGTAAAAATTGTCATGTGGACTGAACGACAAGTTAGGCAATTAGATAAGTGCTGAAATGAAGGATCTGATTAGTCAATCAACTGTTTTGAATATCGATCAATTATAAACTACATGGTTTTAAACAAAAATATGAAAAATTAATTTCAGTTGTGAAAATTTGGTGGTTTTTGTAGTCATGTATAATAAAATGAAAATCTTTTTGGACTTTTGGTTGGATAATTTAAATAATGTGGTCTTAAAAACTGTTATGGGCATTTCTTGCTTTTCTGACATTTTGAATCAGAATCAGCTTTATTGGCCAGGTGTGTCGGACAATTGAGGAATTTGACTTTGGTACATTGGCTCTCAATGTGCATGTACATATCCCCATGCAAGGGGCAAGTAAACAGTAAACCAGCACAAGGCTGTGTAATATAACAAAATAAGCAGTATTAACAGCAACATTGACAGCAACAAACAGTACAAACAATGCAGAATAAGCAGTATAAACAGACAGTAAACAATGCAGACAAACAAAGGAATGTTCATTGAAATGAGATAAATAGGAATAAAAATAGAGTACTTAAAACTAGAGACCTGTACAAGTCTGTATAATCTGTACAATGTGTATATATACAGGTATTGCACTGAGGGTTATTGTCCAGTCATACTGTCGTGGGTTAAGTGTTCATCAGAGTGATGGCCTGGGGGAAGAAACTGTCCCTGTGCCTGGTTGTCTTAGTGCACAGTGACCTGTAACGCCATCCAGAGGGGAGGAGTTCAAACAGATTGTGTCCGGGGTGTGAGGGGTCTGCAGTGATCCTCTCTGCCCTCCTTTTGACCCGTGCGGTGTACAGGTGCTCCATGGACGGCAGGCTCACACCAACGACCTTTTCTGCAGTCCTGACTGTCCACTGAAGTCTGTACTTGTACTGTTTGGTTGCTGAGCCAAACCAGACAGTGATGGAGGTGCAGAGGACAGACTTGATGATTCCTCTGTAGCACTGTATCAGCAGCTCTTGGGGCAGGTCGAACGTCCTGAGCTGGCGCAGGAAGTACTGTACATCCTCTGCTGTGCCTTCTTGATGATGGTCCCGATGTTTGACGTCCACTTCAGGTCCTGGGAGATAGTGGAGCCCAGGAACTTGTAGGACTTTACTGTTGATATAGTGCTGCCGAGTATGGTGGTGGTAGTGGTGGTGGGTGGGGGTTCTTCCTGAAGTCCACTGTCATCTCCACTGTTTTGAGCATGTTCAGCTCCAGGTTGTTGCGGCTACACTACAGGACCAGCTGCTCAACATCCCGTTTGTAGCTGACGTTGCCATCTCGGATGAGACCAATGACCGTTGTATCATCAGCATATAGGGTCCATACTGTATGTCAACAGGGTTTCTATGAAGAAGTGGCCACTCCTCTGTTGACAGATGTGACAATGATCTACACAGGCGGCATCAATCTAACCAAGACTAACTTCAGCCAGTATTATAATGGCTCTGAGATTGTGGTTGCTGGTCAAATCACTGACAATGACATTGAAACCTTCACTCCACAAGTTGTGGCCATTTCAGTAAGGATCAATTCACACACTGCACATCAACTGTAATCTCCTGAAAAGTTTGTAAAATTCCCTGTGTATACCTAACAATTCATGTGGATTATGACAGGGGGCTAGAAGGGTAAAGTTTTCTGACACTGACACCATGGTGGAGTCCCCTGGAACAGTATCTGGCAACCATCTCCAGAGGGTTTGGGCCTACCTCACAGTCAAACAACTTCTAGAGAAAGAGTGAGTGAGATGTCAGCTGTGTTTTTGCTCTCATGTCAGATACAGTGCCTTGCAAAGGTTTTCATACCCCTTGAATTTTTCCACATTTTGTCACATTACAACCACACACGTAAGTGTATTTTATTGGGATTTTATGTGATAGACCAACACAAAGTATTGCATAATTGTGAAGTGGAAGGAAAATGATACATGGTGTTCAAGATTTTTTACAAATAAAAATGTTGAAAAGTGTTGCATACATATGTATTCAGCCCCCTTGAGTCAATACTTTGTCGAAGAACCTTTTGCTGCAATTACAGCTGCAAGTCTTTTGGGGTATGTCTCTACCAGCTTTGCACATCTAGAGACTGCAATTTTTGCCCTTTCTTCTTTGCAAATTAGCTCCAGTTCAGTCAGATTGGATGGAGAGCATCTGTGAACAGCAATTTTCAAGTCTTGCCACAGATTCTCAATAGGATTTAGGTCTGGACTTTGACTGGGCCATTCTAACACATGAATATGCTTTGATCTAAACCATTCCATTGTAGCTCTGGCTGTATGTTTAGGGTCGTTGTCCTGCTGGAAGGTGAACCTCTGCCCCAGTTCCAAGCCTTTTGCAGCTTCCAACAGGTTTTCTTCCAGGATTCCTGTATTTAGCTCCATCCATCTTTCCATCAACTCTGGCCAGCTTCCCTGTCCCTTCTGAAGAAAAGCATCCCCACAGCATGATGCTGCCACCACCATGTTTCATGGTGGGGATGGTGTGTTCAGGTTGATGTGCAGTGTTAGGTTTCCGCCACATGTAACGTTTTGCATGTAGACCAAAAAGTTAAATTTTGGTCTCATCTGACCAGAGCACCTTCTTCCACATGTTTGCTGTATCCCCTAAATGGCTTTTGGCAAACTGCAAATGGGACTTCTTATTGCTTTCTTTCAACAATGGCCTTCTTCTTGCCACTCTTCCATAAAAGCCGGATTTGTGGAGTACATGACTAATAGTTGTCGTGTGGACAGATTGTCCCACCTGAGCTGTGGATCTCTGCAGCTCCTCCAGAGTTACCATGGGCCTCTTGGTTGCTTCTCTGATTAATGCTCCCCTCGTCCAGCCCGTCAGTTTAGGTGGAAGGCCATGCCTTGGTAGGTTTGCGGTTGTGCCATACACTTTCCATTTTCGGATGATGGATTGAACAGTGCTCTGTGAGATGTTCAAAGCTTGGGATATGTTTTTATAACCTAATCCTGCTTTAAACGTCTCCACAGCTTTATCCCTGATCTATCTGGTGTGTTCCTTAGTCTTCATGATACTGTTTGTTCACTAATGTTCTCTAACAAACCTCTGAGGCCATCACAGAACAGCTGTATTTATACTGAGATTGAATTACATACAGGCGGACTCTATTTACTAATTAGTTGACTTCTGAAGGCATTTGGTTGTACTGGATTTTATTTAGGGGTATGAGAGTAAAGGGGACTGAGTACATATGTATGCCACACTTTTCAGATTTTTATTTGTAAAAAATCTTGAACACCGTGTATCATTTTCCTTCCACTTCACAATTATGCAATACTTTGTGTTGGTCTATCACATAAAATCCCAATAAAATACATTTCAGTTTGTGGTTGTAATGTGACAAAATGTGGAAAAATTCAAGAGGTATGAATACTTTTGCAAGGCACTGTAGTCCTGTTGACGAGAAGAATTTCATCCATTTTGTTGACCAGGGAGTGGAGATTTGCCAGGTGAATAGATGGGAGTGGGGTGTGTGTTCTCCTTTGTCGTAACTTTAGTGGTGCACCCACTCTCTGACCTGTCTTTCCTTTGATCTAAAACTGTACACATGTCAGATGTTGAATAGTTAACACCTTCCTCAGGACCTGATTTAACAGTGTGAAGTCAGAACGAGTCACAGTCTGAAATTTGAGCTTCTCATTGGAAAAACAAAAACTAAGCACTGGAAGGTCAGCTGGGAATATTCAGCTGTCTTCTGTTCATTCATGAATGCTATGCTCTAGTTTATGAATAGCAAATCACAGTCACCCTCCCTGTTTTCTTCCCTGTCACACAGCTACCTGTGGCTGTGTTATATTTTTGCCCCGAATAAACATATGGTAGAAATGTTACTACTTGGTTGTGAAAAGAGAAACACAGCCTTATTGTCTCTTCTGGCATGTCTGATAGGGTGCATGTGTATGTGTCATACAAGAGGGTTTGTTTTTAGCTGATTCAGAGTGTCTCTGAAATGGAGAAGTTTTCCCAGATGTCGGCCACAGGTTCCGCTGGTTGCTGAGAATAGTTACTGCTCTTGAAAATGTGGCCCCCCGCCCCCTATCTCAGCTGACCGATTTATGTGGAGCACAAGGCCAGGTGGTAATGTTTATAGCTTCAGCATCTGATCAAAGACCCAGCACCCCACAGAAACGGAGGGAGAGAGAGTGAGAGGGAGGCAGAAAGAGGAAGAGAGAGAGA